AAAGAGCCTGAAAATCTCGCAAAATAGATCGGTATCATTGATAGAACTGTTAAACTGTACCACACATAGGCAAAGGATAATGATAGTGGTAGGTGGAAGTGTTTCCCAAACCACATAGGTTTTAATCGACCGATATCTCGATATTCTTCGATATATATCTAATCCGGTAATACGGTCTTCTTGTGACATCTAAGGCTCTGACGAAGGCGATTGGCCGAAACGTTAGCCGAATAAAATCATTGTATCATCTAGGTCGTGGCTTCAAAGAGACCTTTAGCCCCTGAAAATCTTTTGGGTAAAGAAACCTTTTGGACTCGTTTCTAAACTGGGTTAGTGTAGTGAATAAGACGGCTCCCGTTGAATTTTGGTGCAGGTTCAAGTTCCATCCAATGCCAAATGTTTTGCTCACAATTCAGGAATATTTTAGGAGGGTTGTTTCGCGAGGCCTTGAAGAATTTGAGTAAGGTAGAACAAAGTGAAACAATGAAATATGGATCGAGAGATGGATAATGGATTGGATTGGCAAGGAAAGCATAAATGTGGGAATAGACAACCTATGAGTTTGCCTTATAGTTGAAATTATGGATGTTAGTATTCAAGCTCTATCAATTGTGATAAAAGTAGAGGATAGTTTTGTAGAGTGATTTTAGCCAAGCATCGGATATAAAGCGACCAGCTCTTCCATCTTTTTGCGAAAAACAAACATTTTAGTTAATTTTTATAACCTATTTTGAGGATGTTTTCCTTGTGTAAACCGAGAGTGGTCGCACACAATCGGAAACGTAATTCCTAAATTTATAGTGCCCCCAAAATAGGAACTAATGGAAGACCAACTTCTATGCACGTCAAAAATTTATTTAAATTTCGCTAAGTTAATGGATGGTCTCTGGTAATGAGTCAAAAATGACAGTGAAGAGCGTTCCAAGGCTTCTCATCGCTGGAGAGTCTGGAATTCGTCAGTGTTACAGGCTTTTTTTTCTCAGGAGGAGCTTTTACAGCGATTTTTCTGAAACAGGCTCAGGCCTCTCAAAATATGGCAATTTACAAATCTATTAGAAATTACCAACACGCTCACATTTTCAGCTTCCCGGCAAATTCCCCTTCACTCGTGGACCTTACCCAACAATGTACACCCATCGGCCATGGACCATTCGACAATACGCCGGGTTCTCAACTGTAGAGGAATCGAATGCTTTCTACAAGGAAAACATCAAAGCCGGCCAACAAGGACTTTCGGTGGCTTTCGACTTGGCAACCCATAGAGGGTAGGTTTCGGTTTGAACGTATTGATTGATTTAGAGTTATAATTAATAATATCTGAATGGTTAAATATTATTGATTGGGGGCACGGTAACCAAAACTACTAACTCCAGCTGATTCCCATTGGTTTTCAGGTATGACTCCGATAACCCACGTGTATATGGTGATGTCGGTATGGCTGGAGTAGCTGTAGATTCTGTTGAAGATATGAAAAGGGTACTACTAGGAGCATTTTGCAGTAGGACGCTAGGAGTATTCAATTTTCAATTTCAATTTCAATTTTAAATATTTCAGCTCTTCGAAGGTATTCCACTTGACAAGATGAGTGTATCCATGACAATGAATGGAGCTGTTATACCCGTACTTGCCATGTATGTTGTAGCTGCTGAAGAGTCGGTTGGTTTCTTACTTATTTACTTGTTTGTTTATTTGTTTATCCATGTATTTACGATCGGGAACGGAATCACGGTAACTCTACAAATGTAGCTCATGGAGAAAACAAGAAAACCATGAATTTAGTCTGTAGTTTAAAATCTTTTAAAAGTTTCCGAAACCACTGCAGTGGTGCTTATATTCTTTACTTTGATCCAACAGTGTTGTCGATTTCTTTGACTGCTTCTGACTGTGATTGATTTTCTTTTATAAGCTGGAGCATGCAGTCAGTTTTCAGCAAGATTGAGAAGGACAGCAGGAAAACTTCTGAAAATTCAAAGAGTTTAATTTAGGGAGTTGAACGTAAAAAGCTAGCCGGTACTATTCAAAATGATATTCTCAAGGAGTTCATGGTGCGAAACACTTATATCTATCCTCCAGAGCCATCGATGCGAATTATTGGTCAGTGATAACTGTTTGAAGACCTTGGTACTCGCTTTGGAATTTATCTGAACCTTTGTATATTACAGGAGACATTTTCGCCTATACAAGTAAAGAAATGCCCAAATGGAATAGCATCTCCATTTCTGGTTACCATATGCAGGTAGGTTTTGAATGGGTGTTGATGATTTTTAATTCTTGAACCTGGAGGTTATTGAAACTCTAAAGATTACTCTTTCAAAGTCCTTCCGAGCAGAAATTGTTATCCAAACTTTTCCCACTCAAAAAATTAGGCAATACCGAAGTCTTATAGAAGTAAGGGGTGTTACAGAAAAACGGACCAGGTCGAGTTTGGCACTCTATGAAAACCATTCGGGCTCACTTCTGGCTACAATTTGTCTACGAGCTAATATTAGAACGCTGTAGTTTAATGAAGGTTGCAATATTGTTCCATTCTAGGAAGCTGGTGCTGATGCAGTTTTGGAGATGGCCTTCACCATTGCCGATGGCATCCAGTACTGCGAAACGGGCATCAATGCCGGTCTGACCATCGACCAATTTGCCCCTCGTCTCAGCTTCTTCTGGGGTATCGGAATGAACTTCTATATGGTATGCGAAATAGCCCAGAAAGTTTCCCTCAATTTTGTAAACTTTGAAGTATGGTGAAGTAGTTATTGATGATTTCCATTTTAGGAAATCGCCAAAATGCGAGCCGCTCGTCGTCTATGGGCCACTTTGATCAAGGAACGCTTCCAGCCGAAGAGTGACAAATCGCTCATGCTTCGTACTCACTCCCAAACTAGTGGATGGTCCCTAACCGAACAGGTATCGGGGGTGTACGGTAGCATGATGGCTTTTTGTTGAAATGTTCAATAACAGGATCCATACAATAACATTATCCGAACAACAATCGAAGCCATGGCGTCGGTATTTGGTGGAACACAATCGCTTCACACCAACTCCTTTGACGAGGCTCTTGGTTTGCCTACCAAATTCTCGGCTCGAATCGCCCGAAATACCCAGATCATCATCCAGGAGGAGAGTGGTATTTGTAAGGTAAGCATAGCTACCCGAGCTGAATAAATCTTGTTGGGTCGATGAGAATAGTAGTGGTTTCTGACTTGGGACAACTAGAGAAGCTCAATTCTTGGGATGCCAATGAAAGTTGAAAATTTCAGGTCGCTGATCCATGGGGAGGATCATACATGATGGAATCACTAACAGACGAAATCTATGAGAAGGCCAGAAAGGTAGGTCTTCAAAGATTAACCTAACAGATAGGTCATGAGTGGGTGGATTCAAGGAATCAATCCAATCAATTTCTCCCTTTGCAATTTTCAGGTAATCGATGAAGTATTCGAATTGGGCGGTATGGCAAAGGCTGTCGCATCGGGTATGACTAAACTGAGAATCGAAGAGGCGGCTGCTAAGAAACAGGCTCGTATTGATGCCGGCAAGGATGTCATCGTCGGTGTTAACAAGTACCGTCTAGATAAGGTTATTAAATAATCTTTGTTTTATTTGAAGTCGGTGGAGTCTCCATAGCCGAAATAGAGAGCTTTATGATGAAAAAAACCTACCTGGAGTTCCACTACCTTAATAGATTTGATAGAAGAGCTCCAGCGATGGAAGTTGGGAGGGTGAAAGCCGATATCCTCTTGGCACCCAGCCGAGTACGAAATGTGGTTCCGATTTTCCCCACTCCATGACGTTTGAATAATACCTCCTTCACGATAGAAAATCTTATCGGTACTATGCTGTGGTCTGATTTTTACAACGTGGGCCCAACTGTGAGCAAGGGCATCAGGACGAGCTCAGAAGCTTTTATTCAATCATTCCACGTAATCTCTTTGTATTTCAGGAAACAAAGGTCGATGTACTAAAGGTCGATAACCAAAAAGTACGTGAGCAACAAATTGCTAAGCTAGAGCACATTCGCAAGACCAGAGATCCGGCAAGAGCCAAGGCAGCCCTCGAAGCGATCACAGAGGTACTACTGTTCACCACACTCTTTCTTGAATTTCGTCATCGGCAGAATTTCCCATAAGTGTATTTAGGGAGCTGCTGGTGATGCAAACCTTATGGAATTGGCTGTGGAAGCGTCACGAGCTCGATGTACTGTTGGAGAGATCAGTGATGCCATGGAGAAGGTCTTCACTCGGTAAGAACTTATATTGATCTTGTTTGAAGTCTTTAGGAGGGGGTAGCAAGAACCGAAGATACCCCTGAAAGTTGGGTAAACTGATCTCTGGACATCATGTTCGATTAGCATACCATGCAGCGAGTCAACTAACTAATGCAATTAGGTCGCGCTGAGACAGCTAGCAAGGTGTCGCTGCGTGTGATGTGAGCGGTAAGGCCAAGCCAAACATTCTTGATATTTTCCTTCATCCTTCAACCCTTTACAACGGTGCTTTACTGTGTTTGTCATTTATCGCAATGATGACGTTAGTGCCAACTGCTCAAATTTTTTGTCGGGTGGTTTGTCACCTGCTCTTGGAGACCGCACAAAGCGAAAAAACAAGGAATTTCAGTAGATAGTTTTGAATGATCTCAAAAAGGGACTTTGTATTACAGCATTTATCTGCTTGGATGGGCATATTGAGATAAATTCCGAGCTAGTCAGTGGCCATGCTAAAATCCAGTCGGTTTCTCGAGCATAAGTCTTTTCCCTGTGCACCACCGATTAGTCATCGCTCCAACAAGGCGAATAACCCAACTTGTTTTGGAAAGCTTATAGCTGCGACTGTATGAGTTCGTGAACGATGCATTGTGAACCTTATTCTCTACAGTCAAGCGGTACTCGCTCTCTTTTCGTTCTCGCAACCAGGCTTCTGAATTTGGTAATCACATAAACATAACCAATGCTATATAAGAAGCAAATCACAAAAATATTAGGGAGGGGTAAATAATTGTTATATGTATCTA